TTGGTTGATATCAGGTTGGCAAATCGTCGGTTCACATGGTATAGATCGGATGGCTCTTCTATGAGTAGGTTGGACAGAGTGTTGATGACTGAAGAAATGTTTAATGTGGGTGGCGAATGGGTGCAACATGGGTTAAGAAGAACTATATCAGACCATTGTGCCATAATTATAAAGACGACGATAACATATTGGGGGCCTAAACCGTTTTGAGTACTGGATGCTTGGCAGCAACATCCGGAATTCAAGAAAGCGATAGAAGATAAGTGGAATGAGATTCAGGTGGACGGGTTTGCAGGATATAGATGTAAACAGAAGCTGAAAATGTTGAAAGAGTTCTTAAAAGGCTGGAATCGTGAAGTATTTGGGGATATGGAAGCCCAATTTAACAAAGCAGCTAAAAAGGTGGAGCATGTTGATATGAAGAACGAGGAGGGTGAGTTGGAAGATTTTGAGTTGAAAGAGAGACATGAGGGATTTCAAGAGATGTGGGCAGTCATGAGGGAAAGGGAAGCCATATGGAAGCAAAAATCAGGAAGCAAAAATCAAGAAGCAATTGGGTGCAGCTGGGTGACGCAAATACAAGATTTTTCCACAGAGTGGTAAATGGTAAAAGGGCTCAAAATGGCATTTCGGGTTTGATGTGTGATGGTAGATGGGTGGAGGAGCCAATTTTGGTAAAAAAAGAAGCAGCAGCATACTTCCGAAAGCAATTTCAAGGAGAAGCATGGAATAGGCCCAGGCCTGCGGGTATAAATTTTAAGAAGATTTCTCAGGAGAGGATGGAGTGGCTAGAAAGACCGTTTCCAGAGGAGGAGATTGAGGAAGGTTTGAGGAGCTGTGAAGGAAATAAAACTTCAGGGCCAAATGGGTACAACTTTAACTTCCTCAAATGCGTCTGGCATAGCATAAAGGAGGACTTTGTGAGCTTCTTTAAGGAATTTCATCAGAATGGGGGGTTAGTGGGCGGGCTGAACTCTTCCTTTTTAACGCTTATTCCAAAGAAGTTGAGCCCAACAGAATTGAAGGACTATAGACCGATAAGTTTGATTGGGTGTGTGTATAAACTGCTTGCTAAGGTACTATCTCATAGACTAAAGACGGTTATGCCAGAGATAATAAGTGATACTCAATCCGCATTCTTGGGGGGTCGACAATTGGTTGATAGCGTCTTAGTTTTAAATGAAGTAGTGGATGAGGTGAAGAAGATGAAGAGGCAAGCTTTTGTGTTCAAAGTAGATTTTGAAAAAGCTTATGATTGTGTAGATTGGGAGTTTTTAGACTGGATGATGAGTCGTTTTGGTTTTGGCACTAAGTGGAGAGGATGGATAAAAGAATGTCTCTCGACAGCAAGGGTGTCGGTTCTGGTGAACGGGAGCCCAACGGAGGAGTTTCAGATGGGAAAAGGTTTACGACAAGGGGATCCGCTATCTCCGTTCCTTTTCTTGATGATTGGTGAAGGGTTACATGGTTTGGTCAGTAAGGCAGAAACAGTAGGTATGTTTCATGGGATACCAATTGGTACAAGGGGGTTGGAGGTGTCTCTACTTCAATTTGCTGATGATACAGTCATTATGGGAAGCGCTGATAGTTCGAATATTTTTATGGTGAAATCTATTTTGAGGTGGTTTGAGTTAATGTCTGGACTGAAGATTAATTTTAGTAAAAGTAGTGTCTGTGGATTTAATGTATCGAAGAGGTGGGTGAGAGGGGCATCAAGAGTTTTCCAGTGTGGAGTTGGAAAAACACCTTTCACTTACTTAGGAATGCCAGTTGGAGGTAAACCAAGGAGCAAGGAGTTTTGGGTTTCGGTTGTTAACAAGTTTCTTGCCAAGCTTGCTGTCTGGAAATCCGCTATGTTGTCCATTGGAAGCCGTATTACTCTGCTCAACTCGGTACTTTCTTCTTTACCTATTTTTTATATGTCTCTTTTTTTGATGCCAAGTTGTGTGGTTTCTGAATTGATTAGCATCCAGAGGGGTTTTTTGTGGGGTGGGGCAAAAATGAAGAGGAAGATACCATGCGTTAATTGGGAGCTAGTTTGTTGTAGTAAGATGAAGGGTGGTCTAGGAGTGCCGGATATACGTAGGAGAAATTGGGCTTTACTTGGGAAATGGTGGGCTAGATTGGGTGATGGAGGGGAGAATTTATCGCAACAGGTGGTTAGGGAGAAATATTATGGAGGTAGGAGGGAGGTAGATATTACTGGAGTAGAAAGTGGACGAATGTCTAAGATTTGGAGTGATGTTGTTAAAATAGGAGGGATGGCTGTGGGTTTACGGAATTTGTTGGTAAATGGTTTTAGATGGGAGGTAAGAGATGGTAAACGAGTGGGGTTTTGGAGAGAGATCTGGGTTGGGGATAAATCGTTGCGGGATTTATTTCTCCGATTATATGAGTTGGCTGTTAAGAAGGAGGGTCTAGTTAGTGAGATGGGTGACTGGGAGGAAGATAGGTGGCGGTGGAACATGGAGTGGAGACGGGAAAGGAAGGGTAGAGTGAGGGATGAAGAAGGGGCTTATGGGAGTTGTTGGAGAGTGTCCAGTTGAAGAAAGGCAAGGAGGACCACTGGTGGTGGATACATGGACTAGATGGACAGTATGTGGTGAAAACAGCTTATGAGGCTTTGGCTCTTGTAAAGTGCACTCTTGTGGACCAGTTTTATAAGATGATCTGGTGTAGACTAGTCCCTTCCAAAGTTGGTTTTTTTGGATGGAGATTATGTCTTGATAGACTCCCAACAAAGGTGAATCTACAAAAA